TCTTCTTCTTCTTCTTCTTCTTTTTTTTGAGACACAGTTTCTTTCTGTATCCCTGCCTGTCCTGGAACTCGCTCAGAAGAGTAGGCTAGCCTGGAACTTAAAGATCTGCCTGCCTCTGCCTCCCAGTGCTGGGATTAAAGTGCTGTGCCTCTCCTGCCTGGCTCATTCTTATTTTTCAGAAGACATTTTTTGAAAGGTTAGAGAGTAAGTAAAATCAGTACTTGAGGTTAAATTATTTGACTTCAGATTCAACATGGTCTACATCTCAGTGGTACTCATGGCAGAGGAAGGTGAGTTATGTTGACAAAGGCTACACTAAAGCAAAGTCTATACTAAGGTGTTGGCTGTGGAGAGGAACAGATGCAGCTCACAGCTTGAAGTCTGGAGTTTGGTGAGTGTTCAAATCTGAGAAGGGCAGAGCAAACAGAACCAAGGATAGTTTTCAGGCTTGGAGACCAAGCTCAGAGCCTCACAGGAGTCCAAGAGAGGATGTAATAGGCAAGTGAGGAATTTACATCCATAAATGGGTCAACTAGCAAAAATTCTAGATCTGTCTGTTGTGCAAAAACAAAACAAAACAAAACAAAACAAAACAAAACACCAGAGATAAATTATCTCAAAATAGGAATCTAGGTTTATGCTTTCAGATGTTTTAATCCAAGTTCTGATGGCCCCGTGCTTTGTGTCTGAAGTAAGGTAGACAGACTGTTAAGACAATGGGGCCATTTAGTAAGGAGCTTGATCATCTCATGAAAGCCAGAAAGCAGGGAGGGAGAGTACACTTCCAGTGAATGAATTACTTCTCCCAGCAAGGACCCTCCCTCCTCTTAGCCTATTCAGCTAATTCAGATATAAATTCATCAGTGGAACATTTAACAACCCCCCACCCCCAATCTAGTTACTTTTCAACAGTGACACCAGCTGGATCCAGTCCTTCAATATATGAGCCTTTGTGGGGAGACATTTCTGGAGGGGTGGTCTCTTCCTGGGCCAGGTGGTTGACCAGACCAAATGGAATGTTAGGTGCCCACCCAGGTCAGAGATTTAATTCTCTTGGCCAGAATGAACTAATTTTTCCTCAACGGGTGTTATTGTGGCTGCCTCACTGTGATGAAATACCCCGACAAAAGCAATTCAAGGAGGGAAGGAAGGGATTATTTCAGCTCAAAGTTCCAGGTTACAGCTCTTCTTCCCATCCCCACCCCTTCGGGGAAGTCAGGTTAGCAGGAGCTTGAGAAAGTGGGTCACAAAGTATTCAGTCATTGTGGAATGAATGCTCACCTCAGGGGGCCTTTCCATTCAGTAGAAGGCAGGAATACCGCCGCCTGCAGTGGCCAAGCCTTTCCTTCTCCTCTAGGGGAATCACCTCAATTCCCCACCATAGGGCATGCTCAGGGGTTCTAGATCGGTGTTAAGGTGACACCACTAACTGGCACATCTCCCTAGTGCTGATGTCACCTTCTGTTTGAACTGCATGTGCGCTAAGTCACCAGGAATCTCTCAAACTGCCATATTACACAATCCTATCTATAAAGCGCCTGAGCCACACATAATTTTCTTCATAAACTTTAGACTCTAAAATATCGAAAACAAGATGTAAATTATCTTAACCATCAGCATCATGATGTTGCATAGAGCAGCTAGTGAGCGTTTGGATATTTAGTATTTCATGTGTGGCTTTTCTTAGTACCTGAAGCTGGCCTTGAATTTCTGATCCTTAGCTCCAAGTGGCATACAGCATGTGTAAAGTTGACAGAAAAGAGTACACAACAAGGGAGTTCTTAAAGTGTATGTGATTAAAAAAAAAAAAAAAAAGTTGGATGTTGGAAACCGAAAGCCCAAAGAATATGTTTAGGAGCTTAGGTGATTGGAAACCAGCTCTCCCCAGCTCACGGTCCCTTAAAGGCCCTCGTGCCATAATTGCTCTGGGCCAGCCGGCTCGCGCTGAGCCCACATGCCTCTTCCGTGGCCTGCCATTGGCCCCAGGGGCCCTCCCCCTCTCTTCCCCGCA